GCTTTATTTTCGCCTGAGGTTTCCAGAGACTTTGCCACAGGCTAAATATAAACCTTTTTCATGAGGCATCCACCAAAAATAAGAAACTTGATTTTCAAGTGGTCATTATATTTTACTTTACCCAAGTATATTACTTCCCATTAATGTATGCTTTATGGGTTTCAAGAAGACCATGTAGTTTATGAATTTATTACTTTTTTTCATTTCTCTATTGAATAAACAAAAGGCACCCTCCCCTCCATACTTGTGTAATAGGGACACAAATGTGCTGTTTCTGCTGTGTAAATGGCCTTCACAGTGACCAATAATCTTAGTTGAGCAAAATAAGGACTAACAATTATCTTAAGTCACTGATAAGCTTAGAAAGATGAATATCAACCACAGAGTGTGGTTTCATGTAGACATGAGTTCCCTATCATTGTGTTATTAGAGATCTTTTATGCCAGCTCCGAACACGTTCCTGTTTTTGCACTTTAAAACTGCATATGTCAGTTATTTATGTCTCTTCTATCAGGCTATTTTTTTTAAGATTTCTTTATTTTTATTGGAAAGGCATATATACAGAGAGGAGAGACAGAGGAAGATCTTCCATCTGATGAATCACTCTGTAAGTGGCCACAACTGGCAGAGCTGAGCCGATCCGAAACCAGGAGCCTGGAGCTTCATCCAGGTCTCCCATGCTGGTGCAGGGTCCCAAATCTTTGGGCTGTCCTCCACTGCTTTCCCAGGCCACAAGCAGGGAGCTGGATGGGAAACAGGGTGTCTGGGATTAGAACCATTGCCTGTATGGGATCCTGGCATGTGCAAGGCGAGGACTTTAGCCACTGGACTACCATGCTGGGCCCTATAAAGCTATTTTTAAGTCATGATAATAATATCACTACATGATTGCTGGGCAAGTTCTTTAATCGACTTACCAAGATAATTTATAAGCATGCTATCTGATATGAGAGCTAGACAAATCAAGAGGCCCTGTGATTTCAGGTAAAAATATGATGATTCTGTGCCACAGCTGCTTCATCTAGAATAAGTATGCCACACAGAATTACAGTGACCAGAGGCTCTGATATGGATGCTGCCACCATCACCACTCCTGTTGAGTATTCATTACTGCTAGTGCAGGAATACTTTGTTCCCGGACAAGGGTATGGGAAATCAATTTTAAATACCTAGTAATAGCAGGCAGCATCAAGATTCTTATGTCATTATCATATACTAAGGCATCCTACTAATGAGCCACCCAGTGAATTATACCAATAGATGGAAAACTTCAGGAAAAACCATCATGTATTACTAGAGCACATAAAAACCCTTTGTTTTGTAAAGTAGAATCAATTCTGTACTTGTAGGGAGTGATCCAGGATTGATCATTTTAAGTAACTTCATACCAGAGATGCTAAAAAGTAGGAAAATTTTGGTTGATATTTTATCACCCTGTGTTTCCAAAATTTTTATAAGAGAATTGATCTTGATTGACATAAGACAAGCTGAAACTGATTTTCAAACTATACTAATTAAATATTCATTATGCTGATAAAAACATAATTAACATTTTTCAAAAGCAAATAGGATGAGTAATTGAACTATACAACAACATGTTGTTTCTGTCCCTATCTGGTTCTTTATGGGCTGTGCTATAACTCTTTGCCAAGTTAAATCTATATGAAAAATCTCTGCATAACATTGAGAACTCTTTAGGTGCTTGAGAAATAAAATCCTATTTATTTATTCATTCAATATTTTCTCCCTACTCTATGCAGGCCTTATATTAGATACTACAAATATAACAATTAATAAATAGTTGTATAGATATGACATAATAATTTCATACTATATAATTATAATGATAGTAACTGAACAGTGTAAAGTACAGGACATTATGAAATTATAAATAGCTATTCAAGAATTTATACTCTACCCATTGCGTGGTGTTCCATCCTTTGCTAGTCTGTGTTCTAACTTTCACCCAAGGAGGTGGGCAAGGCTGTGATTTCAGGATACACTATAAGTCCCCAAGCTGCAGGATAATACTGTGTCTGGGTTCTGGCTGCTTTGATATTACACTAATATTTTAAGAAATCCATAAAAACGCTATCATTTTAAACTCAGAAACTATTAAATCTAAGAGTTAGTCTAATCTAATTTTATCACTTCACAGTTTGAAGAAATAGAGAGGTTCCATTGGGTTTAGTTTGACAAAAGTCTGTGCAACATCAGTCACCACAAGCTTCACCTTGCAAATGTTGCAGCTGATTTATGATTTTGTCAACTGGTGACCAGCTTCGTATTTAGCTCATTAACAGGCCTGTAGTATTTAGAACAATTGTTTTGCCCTGAGGTCACTGGGAAATAAAAATATTTTAATGACTGACCATTGCCTCTGCTAACTCTAGACAGTCTGCCTCTCAGATAGCTCTGATCCCATTCAGTGAATTTCACTTCCGGGGTTGATGATTATATATCTGAAATGTTTTTTAAAATGTGACTCCAGTGAAGAATTTCCTTTAAATTATCATTCAGGACAAACTAATTTCTTTATTAGACTAACAGATTCAATCAAAAACCCAGAAGAAAATATGTACTACTAAGCTGTTTATTAGATTGACTCTTTAACTCAATGAGTTTGTTTTTTGTGGTCCATATTTGGCTTATGTGGCACAAATTAAAAGTATGGATCCACAAGAGCTTAACTTAACCATATTTGAATTCAGCTAAATGCTGAGGCTTCATAACTCACAGGCATGTGTTCTCATGTAGAGATATGGGCAATATTTTGGTGGCTTAGGTGGTATTACAGTTTTGTAGGTTTTAAATGGAATTATTAAACCATCAAAATATACATACCCATTTGTATGTATATTAACTTTGTTGATATACAGAATATTTAAAGTGTGTTATCTTTATTAGTCTTCAAAGATGATAATGCAATAAATTATAATGTCCTCTTTTAAGAAGTCAGGCTTGGAATTTTCCTTTTTGAAAGAGTTACAAAAAGAGAGCGAAGGACAGGGAGAGAGATCTTCCATCCCACTGATTCACTCCACAGATGGCCACAATAGCCAGGGCTGGGCCAAGCAGAAGCCAGGTGCCTCATTCAGTCTCCCACATGGGTAGCAGGGACAGAGGCACTTGGCCCATCCTCTGCTGCTTTTTCTAGGCCTTTTGCAGGGGACTGGCCTACTAGTGGAGCAGCTGGGACTGGAACTGGCCCACCATGCCACACTACCAGCTCCGACTCAAAAATTTCACTTTGTAAATTCTACTGAATAGCACCATCACATAAAAAGCTGTTAACATCTACACTTACACATACTTGCTGTGTCTCAGAACTATGACATATTTTAATGGCCAGCTGTTTTAGTAAAAACTTAGAATATTTTGTGTTATGATATGATAAGAGTGGTGGGTTTATATAAAGTCACCATTATCCCTAAGCTTCCCAGGCAAACAGCACTGAATCCTCTTGTCATGGTCAAAGAAGCAGACTTTAGAAAGAATACATCTGAATGATGTCTAATTTTGTCATGGCATTAGTAAGCCATCCTCTGAATCCAGAAACTCAGTCTTCCCAAGCACAAAAAGCTCTAAAGGAAGAGGCCTCCGTGTCCACATGGGGTCAGCTAACACGGTCTGAGTTGTGGTGTGTGACGTGACTGAAAAACCAAACAAAAGCTTCTTTTTGCTCCATGGAGAGGGGCTGGGAAGTAGAGTGTGCCTGGCGAGCAGTACAAGTTGTGTTGGCTCCCCCTTCCCTGTAGCTTTTAGAGAATTCTTTGTGGAAGGAAAGAAAGAAAACTTCCTGTCATAAGAATAATGATGCCCTGAGGAAGGAAACATCTGTTCTCCTGTCCAGTGCAGTATAAGGAAAGCAGCTGTTATCTGCTTTGAGTTAAAAAAAAAAAAAAAAAAGGTGGGCTTGTGTCCACCTCTACGCTCTCCCTACGGAGATTGACAGCTCCACCGCGGATGCAGGAGGCTGGGGTCAACAACTAAAGCCTTTATGTAAACATTTTCAGTCCTTCTCTTTCTGTCCAGTTCAGCCGACACTTTATCCCATGGAACTAACTTAACAAAATGCATGTTTTCTTGTGAATTCTGGTCTTGGGAAAGACTGATAAGAGTAGAAAGAGGGTGGCATTCTCTGTTTATAAACAGGTTTGGGATCCGGAAACGAAAGCTGAAGACCAGGATGAGCAAGAGAACATGCAGGTGCCCTTGAATGTGGTGTGCTACTCTGGGGCTCTTGGCTGTTCTGTACGATTTTATTGTGTATCCATTTCTTTTCCTCTCTCACCAAAATGGCAGGAAAGCGGAGTTAATGACATCTCAGATATTTATAGAAAGCCTAAGGGGTTTAGGGACCTACTTCCACTTTCTTCATCTTTCTTTCTCAAATTGAATAAAAGCTCTTTTCATTAGGTCAGTCTCAACCTAATGTGGCTAAGATGTTTCACCAAGTGTTGGCAGACTAAATGCAGAGTAAATGGGAGATCTTAAAAGGAGTTGAGCAAAGAGCAGGCTCTTTCACAGGAGTAGTAGAAGGGACAGTGGAAACACTAATGGGAAACAACAAGTTATGTTTGAAGAAATTACCAGTATTTATTATAATTGCATGGATCTCAGCCAAAACCCCTGTGATGGTGCCAGAATGATTACTCCATAATAAGTGTTGAATGAATAAGTACAGGGATGCATAAAGGCGCTAAATCATTAGGCATCTTCATGCTATTTAAAGTTCTAAGTACAGTCTCACAGCAGCATTCCGTGCTCTCCTCCTAAGCTAGCTGGACCTATATTTCTTACTGCCATGTGGCTCAGGCTTTTTTTTTTTTAATAAGTAGAAGTTGTCCCTGTACTGTTATATTTCTAATGCACCACTTAAAAAGGGAAAACAGTGACCACAATGTGCCATATTCCTACAGCAAAATAAAAAAACTGTGTGAACCACTGTGGCTTTAATTACCAGCTTACTGTACTTTCTTTTTCTCCTCAAACCTAAGGCTGCTGTGGTGCCATCCGCCCAGACCCTTAAAATCACTGACTTCAGCTTCAGTGACTTCGAGTTGTCCGATCTGGAAACAGCGTTGTGCACAATTCGGATGTTCACTGACCTCAACCTCGTGCAGAACTTCCAGATGAAACATGAGGTAAGAGTGGTGTCCTTTAGGAAAGTGTGTGTGTGTGTGTGTGTGTGTGTGTGTGTGTGTGTGTGGCTACCTAGATTGCATCCTCTGGCCCAGGGGTGAGTGTGAGGGGAATGTACTGAACTGGTTTTGAGTGCCAGTAAGGAACAGGGATAATGTAGCTTCATCCATTAAGGTTCTATCACCCAGTACATACCTGATATTTTTAAAGAAACAGAAAGACATATGTTAGGTTCTCTGCCATGCCAGCACTAAGTTGAAGAACAAACGAGAGTGGTACTAGAAGTGAGAACCATGCAAACGGTATAGAACAGTAGTTGAGGGGTGAGTGTGGCAAGAGAAGCAGCTGGATAGCAAGGTAAGAAAGTTACGCAGGACCTTGTACACCATTCATCGGGATTGCAAGCTGGAAACAGTGGTAGGTGCTGAGGAATCCAAAGCAGGGCAGCAATGGGGGGATGCCCAAAGGGAGAACACAGAGAGGAAGGGGATTAGTGTAAAGCCAAGCATACCTATATCAGCTGAAGATGAAAACTGATTTTAATCACTTAGATGATCTTATTCTCCTCTCAGGAAATAGCAAGACTTTAATCAGTGCCTTTTGTTATCAGTTTGCTGAGATCAGGGAACTCTGTAGCATCAAAGAATAAGGGAAAACAGAAGGGACAGCTGGAGAAAAATCCTCAGTAACTTGCCTTCAGAGTTACTTTTCTGATAAGCTTAATGTCTGGTCTCTCTATATAGCTTTCTTATCCGAAAAATTAAATGTCTTAAAGGCCTCTACCATTTAGCATTCCATTAACTCATAGGATAGAAATGTATTAGCATACACTATGTACTCAGAACTAGGCCAGGTGCATATTTCAGCAGCGAGCTCCCTCTGCTATCAAAGGCCTCACAGTTCAGAATAAAAACAAAGGATGAATACAGATAAAACTAATACAGCATCATTAGTGGCCTTACTGGGTTCCTGATTGTAGTTTTTGCCTTCCCTTGGTTTAACCAAATGTCCTATGAGATCACTTCAAAAATTTGTGGACAAAAGAATTAAAGTGTCTATTTTTGTGCAAAAAATTGGAATCGTTTTTCATATAGTTTTTTTTTCATAATGTGTATTTCCAGAAATGTTTTTGCAGTACCTGTTCCTCTTTCCTGGGTAGGAAAAAAGAACAATGGACCATAGACTTCGCTAACAAAACTTGACTCTTGTGAGAATGTGTTAAGGAATGTAATGTCATTTTGTTTATAAAGCTCTCTTCCAGTCTTACAAGCACAGGAGTTGAGACTGCAGTGTAGAGTGGGAAGATTGTGAATTTTGAGTCATAGATCTACCAGCAATATGTCGTATTTCCCTGGGCAGTTGATCTCTCAACATTGTCACTTTCCTCGTATGTTCGTATGTTCGTAAGGGGTAAATGGTATTACCGCCCCCCCATACACACACCCACTAAGAGCCTTGATATGCTTATACATGGAGTGCTGGCACATCTATCAATGTGCTTTTGTGTATGTGTGCACCTGTGTCTCAGGTCCTGTTTAACACTCAGAGTCCAGGTCAGTTATCATATTCTTGGGCCAAATTTTATGGTTACAATCATCCAATTTCTTTATTATTTCTTTATTGCAGGTTACAAGCCTCATTTGTAGCAGCCTTCTCTAGTAATGAGATGAATATCTCATTAGCCAGAGGTTCTAAACTGTGAATCTGAACACTGCATCTTGCTAGTTGTAGGACCTGTAAATCTACCTAATATCTCAAATCCTTTTCTGTTCCTGAGAGCTCGTATGCTTGAAGCTAGTGATGATTCTGGTGAAAGGGTTTGTTCAGAAAACTGGTGTGGTCCTTTTTTTTAAATGAAATGTATGTAAGTTGAGATTTTGTTCTTGCTTGGCTTGAGGGTAGCGCTTGATGATTAGGTATTGAAGATAGATATTTAAACTTTCTGCTGTAATATTTATTCTCATCTTTTCTTAGATTTTTGTTCATTGGGAAAACATTTCTTCCCAATCTGATTCACCTACCTTCTTTTTCTATTTGAATAACCACTATTCTGGATCTGGCCAACATCAACTTGAGCATCCTAATCATTCTGAATGGCCTTCCTGCCGTACTGCCTCTTTTGCTTTGTTTATTTCAGATATTGCTGTCAGTATAATGTTAGGATGATAAAATTAAAATGTTACTGCTAGAGAAGGATGTTAAGATTTATGAAGTTGCTGTGACAGAGAACATTTCATATTGATGGATGTGTCTTCATGTCTCTGCTTGGCTTCTGAATCCTAAGTAACTCTTCAGTAACAATTGTAAGCACTGCCTCTTGTTGACCTCTGCAACATATTCTGAATGTGCTGTGCTTGTTTTCACCCTCTGTCTCTCTTTTTTTTTCCCCCAATTTATTACGTTGCATTACGTGATACAGCTTTTTAGGTACTGGAATTCCCCCCTCTCCTCCCACAATCCTCCCCCCATGGTGGATTCCTCCACCTTGTTGCGTGTCCACAGTTCAAGTTCAGTTGAGACTCCTTCCCTGTGAGCCTATACTTAGCATAGAGTCCAGCATCTCATCGTCCGGATAAGTTCAACAGCTTCTTGGGGAGACCCTCTCTGGTCCAAAGTTAGAGCCAACAAAGTAAAATCCCGGTCAGTTACAAGCCCCAACATAACATCAGCAACGATATACAATATTGTGGAACTGACATAGTATCAAGTAAGTAAGTTCTTAACCACATCCTGTGACTACTTCGATGACATTTCAACAATTGAGGTGCGAAACAGTTTAGGAGGGCTGTTATGCAGAGAAATTCTCAGTACCTTGTTGAGGAGTACTTAATCTTTGTGTCCTCTGTAGTGAAGTGTGTATGAGTTTATGGTCATCAGGCTTTCCTTTTTGTTCTCTGCCTATCTATTCTAACTTGTGTGTGTGTTTGAAGGGGGGGGCTCTGGAGCAATCCCAATGGTCATTGCAGAGAGGGTGAGGACCCAAAGCTGGAACCAAGCAAGGGCTAGAGAAAGCTCCTCTCCCCAATTCCGAAGGAGGTTTACTGTTCTGGTTCTGAGGATCAATCAGGGTTCCTGTCTGTTGTTCCGATGGCTCTCAGTCCCGCGATGAAGGGCTCGGGCTTCTTCCATCCCGTATGGTAGGTCCAGAGGGCGGGGGGAATGTCCTCTGAGTTCTCGGCCTCCAAAGGCATTCCAGTTCCCCGTGGTCTCTTTGGCAGTTTCACCCTCTGTCTCTTACATGTCGTTTTTCTCTTGAGCTATACCTGTTCTACTCCATGCCACAACATACTTTTCCTCAGAGCCTGACTCAATGTCTCTCTCCATGAAAGGACTCTGGAATTGACTTCATGCCACTTGGGTCACAGCTTAGCAGTTTATAAATTTGCACTCTTCGTGTTATCTTTATTTCCTGGATGTATGCATTTTTGTTATTTTCAATGCTGAGTCAATTTCTGAAAGGCAAGTCCTGACCTGTTTTCTGTTTCTTCCATTTGTCCCTATCATTCTTAGGAATCCTTCCATAATTATTGGTGATTGATCCAATGTGTTACAAACATATTATCTACAGTCATCTAAAGAACAAGCAACTATAAATAATTGTATACAAAATATAGTTACTGATTTGTGTTTTCAGCATATCCAAAATTTCCTGTATGCTATTCCGAACCTCCTGATTAAAAAATCTGAAACAGAGCTTAAATGTAGTTGTTTGCTAACTGTGATATCCACTGGGTTGTCCAATTCTGTTAAATCTGTCTTAACAGAATCTAATAGAATAACTCATCAGAAATTATGTTCCACAGAGTCGCTCTGATCATTGCTTCACATTATATGGCATGTGTGAATATGTATTTGTACCTGTACACTTATGATTAAAGGGCATATATACAGGTTAAATTTCTGCACTTTACTGTGTAATTTTTAAAATTTTATTGTTATTATTACTTTCCATGATACAGTTTTGTAGGTATAGAGAATCCCCCTTCTTTACTTTCTCCCACCCCATGTTTCCACCTCCATCATTTTCTCCCATGTTATTACACAGGTATAGTTCTTCAGTAACAGTACCAATTTAACATTGTTACTTACGTGTATTATTATATTGTAGATATAGGCAATGTTAGTAAGTCTAATATCAAATTGTCAAAGTGTGTTTAACAGTTTCACTGGGAGCCCTCTTATCTGAGAGTAGAGATACTTATTGTGCAGTTTCTTGCTGCACTAGTTATTTCTATAACATGCTATTTTATAGTTCCTAAACATTTCAAAGGCAGTTTATAGCTCTTAAAAATTTCCCTAATGAGATTAATCCACCATCTTCTGGATGAACTTTATTCAACAATGGTCATAATGAAAGAAGCTGCAGTGTACTTAAAATGAACATGTCAGCCATAGGCACGCACAAGTCCTCTGCTTGAAATGCAGCAACTCAGGGAGGAAGAGCTTGGAAACAATAGGTTCTTTGTTATCAGGATTCCTGGTGAACTGAGACATAGAATAGAAATAAAAAGATCTGAAGAGAAATGAGAGAACATGAAAGCATTCCATTTTCTACCATATCCTCTGTCAGCAGTTTCTGTCAACAATGGAGAAACCTTGTTTAGGCCTACCTCTGTGGCCGATTATATCATGTTGAATATTGTCAGGGCAGCATTCTTTTCTCTGTTACTTTTTCCATTTCCCCATGGCAATGCTCTTTGTGTTTCAAGCATCTCCAGTGATATATGCAAGAGAGAAGCACATATTTATTTTTGCAAATCCACCAAAGTCTAGTAAATCATCCGCATTTGAAGAGAGGTTAACTCTGGCGTTAGCACAAGCACAGCATAGCCATGCTTAGGGCCCCTGAGTCCCAGGGTATTTTACATAACACACCACTTAGATGTTGAATTAAACCCAACTTGTGATACTTGCTTAACAAGCTATTCTTTTTTTCCATCTTTGAACTTTGTTTGTTTTTTCCTATGGACCCCACAGCTTTATTTTGCATATATTTTTCAAAGGTTACATCTTGAAAACCAAGGAGTACTTCCGCCTGGATATTTAATCATAGTTTAAAAGAACAAAGATTTTTATGATAGTGGGACTTGTAGCTCTAACTTGTCCTTGGATGTGTGTTGTATACTTTGTTCGCAGCCCAGAACTTTGCACTAAATACCTTTGCAGCTGCACACCACAGGAGTGTGGGAAGAATTTGAGAGTGGCTGAGATGTTGGCTCTCGCAAAGTGCATTCTTGTACATATGAGTTTTTACTCTTAATGGATGACATATGGCTATCTTACCCTTTCAAAAGCTAGTTAGGATCCTACCATTCCAGATAGACCTCTCCTAGAGATATCTCACATTTTATATCCAGTCTGGCTAACTTAGTGCTCAACTTGGTAGACTGCAGAATCAAACTGCTCACATTTCTAGCAGTGTGACCTTCAGTAAGGTCTGAGTGTCAATTTTCTTGTCTGTGAGATGGTCAAAACAGTAATGTGGCTCTCAACAGTTGTAAAGGGCAAACATGATTGATTTGTATGGTGCCTAGAACATAGTAAATGTGTGATAAGCATGAGCTGTTATTGTTACTTTTTATGCTTTATTTCCTAAAGGTTCTGTGCAGATGGATTTTAAGTGTTAAGAAGAATTATCGGAAGAATGTTGCCTACCATAATTGGAGACATGCTTTCAACACAGCTCAGTGCATGTTTGCTGCTCTTAAAGCAGGCAAAATCCAGGTACTTTTTGGAGCCATCCATATAGTTGGGACATTTTGCTACTTCTTAGTAAAACATACTGCACAGTCTTCCAAATTTCTTATGCTGCACTACTTAAAAATAATGTTTTTCTAATTAAAGTGGATTAATGTGGCAACATACTTAGTTACTAAATTTTATGCATACATGATGTAAAGTTTTTGGAATAAATTATGGGTGCTTTGAAAATGTATACTGCAAATAGCTTTGGAAAAATAAGTATTTCCTACAGAGGAAAATACTACAGTATTTAGAAAGTAAAAAAGTATATATTATTGTTATTTTTGTTGTTCACACTCAACCTGCTCCATCATAGAATCCTTCAACACCTATCCCAAGACTTGCATGCAGCTATACAGATGATTCAAGGATTCTCCATTGTACTTTGTCTTAGAACACTCAATTTTACAAGTCTTCATTTGTGTTAAGGATTTGGTTTCATGTACATTGACCAGAGACTGTTTAGAGGGAAGATCAGTAAAGAAAACATTCAAGTAATTCATTCCTTTCCAGGCCAAATTTTATCCATGTCCCTGTCCTTAGATCAATTAGTTATTCTAGGTGATTCTAGGCATCCATCATGTAGCTGTTTTTAATTCAGAAGTCCCTTGCTCATTTTGAACCATATGCATTCTAAAAAATAGTATTCTGGGGACGATTATAGGGTTTACATTTTAACTCAACAGATCTAAAAGAACTGATTGTTGCCAACAAGGAAGTTGATATTGTAGTATTTCCTGCCATAGCAAACATTCATAAAAAATAGAATAACTTATGTTTTTGGGGTTATGGAAAGGACCAGAAGATTATCACCACTGAAAACTATCCTATTTTTTGTAAGGAATAAAAAATATATAAAATTTTTTTCAAATATACTGTAAATCCTGTATAGAATGTTGAGAGTTCCAACAGAAAAGAGATGGTGATAATTTTATCCTATTTTTCTCTTAATTAATAAAGGAGTATAGTAGTATGGATAAAACAAAAGGCAGATGCTCAAAATTAATACACATTTCAGTTGGAAATATATTATGCAAATTTTAAAGTCAAATTTGCATTCCTAATAATTTTTTTCTGATATTTCATCTAATATTCACATCTTCACATTCCTTAAGAACCCAGAAACTGATAGCACAGTACAACAGCAGACTCTGCAGGGGGCTGAAAGAAAGAAACTCAGGATTTTTAGAGCTGATTGTTGCATGTTTAAGAATTAGTGAAATTTACTATTGACAGATTACTTTCTATTGATAAGGAACATCTGTCATAGCCTTATCCTGTATGATAAAATACAGCCAATTTCCTGGATAATAGGATTCTAGAAAAAAAGTTTGTGATTGTAAAGATATAAAGTGGGAGAAAAAAAAAAACAAACCACAGAAAAGACTTAACACATTGCCCTTTACTGAGTTATGTCTTTCTCTCTCCTCCATGCCTTTGATCATGCAGAACAAGCTAACTGACCTGGAGATACTTGCCTTGCTGATTGCTGCACTAAGCCATGATCTGGATCACCGTGGTGTCAATAACTCTTATATACAGAGGTGGGATTTTCCCCAGGGAAACAAGGAAAAGTTACTGCTAGTTAACTGTATTTTTGTTAAAGTTAGAGCCATAGCAAAATCTGATGGCACACAACTTAAACTCGTGAAGGTTCGATAACATAATCTGGTTACATTTAAGGGAAGTGAAAAAAAATAATATTATGTCCAATCTTCTGTTGGTAATGTTACAACCCAAAGTTGAAAAAAATTGATGTTGAGATTCTCATTTTATTAGATAATTACCAGGATTTTTGCTTTAGTTCATGTGTACACAGCTTAAGAGTTTCTTTAGAAAACTATTAATACCAGTTTGGAAAAGGTAGAATTTTGCCCAAGAATAGAAAAGATAATATTTGAAAAGTGCTTAGCTCAGCCCTACATGCTTAGGAAGTGTTAAGCAGGAGGCAGCATCTGGTATTAATGAAAGTAGTAGAGCACGTCTTCGAGGAGGCTGGGCTGTGCAGACAGACCCGGGTTTGGATTGCTCATCTGCTACAGTCTCTGCTTGGCCTTGGGCAGTGGAAGTGGGTTTGGTGTAAGTTTGACGAGATTGTACACAGTACCAAGTAGCATTTCTGATACACACACTAACATAACTGTTAAATCTGTACAGTAGGTGCTAGAGTTGGTTGTACCATCACCACCACAGTCTCTCCTAGACTGATTCTAAGAAAAAGATCCCTGGAACAAGCTATGGTGCAACATGTTATGCCATCACCTGCACCTACATCTCATATGCTCCCCCTTTTAGTTCTATCTGCTCCACTTCCAGTGCAGCTCCCTGTAATATACCTAGGTGAGCAGCAGAGGATGCCCCAAGTTCTTGGTTCTATGCACCCACTAGAAGCTCCTGGCTGTTAGCTTTGACCTGGCCCAGCTCAAGCATTGAAATCATTTGGAGAGTGAACCAGCACCTCTCTTCAACCTTTAAGACAAGACTATTCAGGCATCTTCAAGGTCCACACTGAAGTAGCATTTACAATAGCAAATAAGATCTTAAAGGTGACATATGTTTCATTAAATCTTTAAGTTGTTATGATATTTGTATTTTTTTTTCCAAACATTTGGTTGAAGACTCTATATCTCACTACTGAGCATTTTCTTAAAGTATGCAAGTGATTTAACTAATGGAGAGATCTCTCTTAAGGAAATTCCAGCTGTCTGATATCTAGAAAGAATTCCAGAAAGCTCTCTAATCACATTCCCTTTATCTAAACAAATGGAAAACTTCATGTAAAAAGAATTGTAGGGATGTAGCAACCATGTCCTCCACTGACCTCTGATGGGAACAGATAGCAAGCTCTTGCTCCAGTGTCAGGGTCTGGCTGTTTCCTCTTGAAAATCCAATATTTTGGAGAACTGACTGGATGGCATGTCTCTTGTCCTCTGGGCTCTGTCATATGAGTTGTACTTCCCATGGATACTGAGATCAGTTATGAAAGGGAACACACCAGCATGAAGAGATCAGCAGTGCAGAGCCAGGACACATGGTATAGCTTTTTGACCAGCCACTACCTAGAGGTCAGCGTGGGTCACGTTCTCCCACTGCTTCAGAACCGGATGTCATGTGATTAGTACATGACCTCTCATGTATGTATTGCACTAGAACACTACATTGCCCTACTCTAGAGTGAAAACAAAGCACAACTGGGTTTTTCCCCCCTTTGTTTATTTAAAATAATTCCCTGCAAAAACATCTGGAGAAATGTCCTTGTCTCTTCAAAAAAATAAATGGCCTGGGAAAAAATCATAGACTACAGAATCTTGCTTTCACATACAGCGCAGGGCAGATTTTCATCAAGTAATAATAACTTTTTTTTTTCAAGTTAGAACAGTAGCAGAGGTTTTTATTTCTTCCTACATCCTTGTGGTTTGAGTAAGAGAAGCCAAGAATTTTCCAGGGATGTTTCCTTTTTTTCTTTCCTCATTGGTCAATGAGTATACTCAAAGTAGGATTTTGTTTAGCCAGGGAACTCTTGGGAGAATAGGACTACCATAAACATTCCCATATAAATATCCATCTAAAAAGGCACACTGTGTCTGGATCTGATCAGATATTCAAATCAATATGTAAAGGAAACCTAAATAATAAAGGGAGACACAGACATAAGTGCAATACTGAAAAAAAGAAAAAGTACCATGTAATAGCAAAGTTATAGAAACTAAAGTTTTCTTCATTTTTTGAATCTCAGAAGTTTTTTTTTTTTGAAGTAAGGTATTCCTTGAAGAGGAGGATGTCTCTTAATTCATTATGTAATTCTTTGATAAGACTTTTATTGTGAGGGACTAGCATATGTAGGCTGGTGAAATACTTAGCTTCACAGTTCACTGTGCATGCTTAAATTCTCCCATGCAGATAAAGGAAGGTGTGGCTGAGGTAGATAATGAATTATTATTTTTCAAATACGCAGTAACAGGAACAAAATATGTGAAGTATAGACACCCAGTAGAGGATCTGTAACACTTGGGTTAGATAGAGAATTTCCCTGCATTAGCATAACAGCTAATATATACCTGATGGATAATGAGCAGTTACTACCTCTTAAGATTCTGTTCCTACCTAAAGAAATTGTCATAATCTCATGAAATAATGGGGGGATCACTTCAAGAAAATATCTAGTGAGTCCTGCATTGTTTAACAAGGGGGACTGTAAATGCTCAACAGAGAATAAACAGGCTGAGACCATTAAAGTCCAACTTCACTTTTCATGGAGGAAGTGAGACTTAACTGGCTTGTAAACAGTGGATAGGATTTGGAGGCAACAAGATCAAGATATCCCAGGAATGTTACAAGGTGGACATTTTCGTGAAACTGATGATGGCTAGCTTGGCAGTAGTTTCAAGGCTCACACTGAGTAGGAATGAAAACTAAGAGGGTGAATGTTTTAAGACCTTTCTAGGGCAGGGCTATGAAATTAATGCATTTGGCGTTTTATATAGTGAAAAACAAGGAGCCAATACAGCATACAGTGTAACAAAGGTAGTGTTTAGTCAGAAAGTCTGAAAGTAAGCTTACAAGGCAAATGGGTAGAAAATAGGATGACACAGAACTCCACCCAAAAGCTGCTACGATAAATTGAAAGCTGGCTAGAGGTTAAAAGAAAAACGTTTTTGGTTCCTTTTTGAACATCTACTTAAATGCAGGAGAAAAGGGAAATATGACTTCTGGTTCAAAAATTTGGAAGTGATTATGCTGGGAAGGGTGGAGGGTAAAGAAGTTTTGGCAATGAGGGGAAACTAATATCTAAGAAATAGGTAAAAGAGGCAAAATGATCATTGAATGTTTTTATTCAAGATGGAAGGTACAAAAAAAATCAGAAAAAAAATAGCCTTGGTAGCCACAATCAGACCATGAAAACTAATTAGACCTTGGAAAATTCACCCTACAATGGTCCGGTCTGCCCTGTAAGAGAGAAACAGAAATGCACTGGAGTCGTGAACTGGCACTATGGTAAGAGAGGGCTGGCAAGATCTGAGAGAAACAACAGGGTTCTCCAAAGACACAAATCACTTATGAAATCAAACTGGGTCGAGTCCATTATACTCAGAAATGAAATCATCCCTGAGACATTGGAGGTCTTGAGAGACTCGAAATGAGAATATGTAAAAAATTAAACATGCAAGTTCAGTTAGTTCCAATGTCAAATAATGATGCTAAAAATAATTATAAGCTAAGATTTAATATAGTTCTTATTATGTGGTACTTGGAACTCTTTTTAGGACTTTGTATGTTAGTTGGTCCTTCTACCACTGTGTAGAGGTTGTGATGGTTATGGTAGTTAAAGCCAAATCAAGTGTAATGCCTGGTTCAAATCCTGACATCTAATCTTACTATTTGACCACAGACCAGGTATTTAATCTCCTTTTATTTTTTTTTTCTGTTTAATGAGGTAATGCTATTTCCTGTCACGTAGTGTTTTTGACAAGAATTAAAGAAAAACAAATATTTGTAAAGTGCTTGGAATGGTACCTGAAACACACCAAAAGCTCTGCAGGTTTTAGCTATTCATGACAAGTAGGAGTTCAAGCTCTTGCTTTATCATTAGCTGGAAGGGAATGGCAAAAGATAAGGTTAAAAGAAACAGTACTATCAATAAGGTCAAAGATCTGTGAGGTCAAAATGTCTGAGTCACTGGCTTGAATATTTGTGTCATGGAATACGATTGCAGAGACGAGAAAGCCAAAGAATCCCTGGCTAACAGGATAAAATCGTAGTAAAGATTTGGAGAGAACTAATAGAACAAACTGAACCTAAATGGAGTTGATGTAGGGTACAAAGTTCAGATTGAAGCCCAGAGTAATATATATGGATGATAAACAGAAGGAGGACATTTTTAGCATTGATAAAATGGAACCCCAGGATAGAAAAATTGTTTTTCTCATAGGTTTTCATATTTTTTATTGGTTTCTAAACGTTTTTATTTCAGGATATTGGTCTGATTATTTTTTTGTCTGGGCATCTTAATTCTACTCTCAGAGTAGAACAACTGTGCTGGACAGAGGAAAATGCAAGAAGAGTATGCCAATGCAATAATCCCAGTGACACCAATTTGAGAATAAAATTTTGCAGCAGTAGTCAGTTAAATAAGTCCTTTTACAGCAACCTCAAATTAAGAGTCTTGTGTTTGGGGAAAAAAAATGAAAAGCAAAAGGATGTAGAATATTGTGGTTTCTATGAATATTTTTGTAAACAGGAAACTGGGGACATTTGTCACCCTTTACTGATTCATAAATCTGTATTTTTAGAATGTCCTCATAAGTAAAGACAAACACAATTTGCACTCATTTATCTCACAAGCCAAGAATTTTCTCTAATGGGAAACAGTCCTTTTCAGCACCATCTGAAAATGTAATATGCATTTGGGGTTCTAACTTGTTTGTGTTACAGCCACCTAATTGCATTTCCTACTCCAGTTTCTAACTACGTCAGTAAGCTGAGACTATGTGCAAAGTACTATGGGGTCAGGAGATCGTGCAGGATCCTACCTCTACCATTTACATTAATGTGAGCAAGTTAGGCAGCCTCTGTGAGCCTCTGGTTACAAATATTAAAGTGCCAGTGTTAGAGAAAATTTCAGCCTGCACATTACCCAGAAGGCTAGCCTAGGTTAAGTTAGTATACATCTCTTTCGTTAGTGAATGTGATCACAGAGAGCAGGAATGCAGGGCCAGAAGGAGTAAAATAAGGCAGAAGGGAAAGTCAGTAGAAGGATAAGTTATTCAGACAGCCAACTGGTACGCAGTCCCGCCAGTGCTTTTTGAAGTATTTTATGAAATGGGTCCTGGAACTTAACCTACAAGGCAAAAGCCAGTTTCTATGGGTCCCTGTACTCATTCAGAGGTGGCCACACAGCCCTTCCTTAACTCCTTCACACTTCCAAACTGAAAAGGGTGAATGCAGAGAGTGTTCCAGTGGGAAGTAGCCAAGGGGTTAAAGAGCGTCAGGGCAGAACAAGTGATGCAGGGTCTGCCAGTACAAGGCATCTTCCCGTGGTTACCAGATTGAGGTCTGATAGTACATCCATGAAGCCGGCCGGACATTACTTCAGTTACTGCAGAAATGGGAGTGAGAATTTTGAAATGAGGAATGGAAACATCCTAAAACATTTAGTGTAAGCATTAATAAGAACTGCATGACACAATGTCTGACATGTTATAGGCTCTCAGTCCATGATAATTGTTATCATAAAGGAAAACAAATACCAAATTCAAGAGGTTTGCCAGCTAACACGATAATAAGCTTAGGCATAGTTATCACTTTGTATAATAAATATTACCACATGTCCTTGAATTTCTTATATGAATGAAAATAACAATTTAGAAGCTTTTCCTTTTATTTTAAATGGAGGGGTGACCAAGTGCCGATTGTTTGACTAATTTTAATACATCTAGACTGAATAATGACAAAAGAGTTTACCTAGATATAGAATATAGAACACAAAGCACATTCAAAACTAAAGTGACCACTGGTTCTGTCTTCACATGGTGGGCCACCTTCTCAGATAATATCCTGCACTCCCATGGCTAAGGTGACCACTAACATGTGGACACATTCCCAATCTGTACATCTAGCCCTGAACTGGAATGAAACCTTTGCATCCATTAGGACCAGTCTCAGGCACCTGAAAATGGACATGTGAAGTATTGAACTAACCATTTTTCTGTATTCTTCATCTCACTCCCAGTTCATTGCCATTCCTATATAGTCTGACTCCCAGACATCTGTTTTCCACTCACTCTCTCTTTCCCCCTCCCTCCCTTCACACTCACCCACCTATTCTTGTCCTTTGGGATGCTCACGCTCTCATCTAGGCTGTCTCTTTCCCAAGAGTTTCCTAACAAGTGTTCTCCCTACCTCCCCAAGTTTGTTTCCAGCAAATTTGCCATTTTTCCTAAATCTGCTCATGTTACTCCATTTGCTGTCTTGTCATTTGCCAGTGATGAGTAATGTATCAAACTCACAGCACAGCTCAATAAACAGGATGGAGACACAGGAGAGAAGCAGACAAAAATGAAACTAGGAACGGTTACAACAGTGGCAGTGACATTAAGTCAACGTAGAGAGAAAAATTTAAGTCATGGGAATGGGCTAGATTACCCATTCTCCTTAGTTTTCATCTGACTGCTCTGTTTGCCCTCAAGCTTCTGTCTACCATATTTTTCCTCTGTTAAATTTCTTCAATCTTGAATAGTTTCTCTATTTTAACAAATTAAATGAAAAGTGAAATCATGATTTGGTTATCTGAAAAAATAACATTTTGGTATACAATTCATAAACCACGTTCCCATAAATTTTAAAAACGCACTTTCACAAACATTTTCTTTTAAAGAGCAAATAGCAAAAATCCTGCCTGATACTCGCATATGAGGGGGTCATGAGAAATATGAAGTGGGGGACTGTGGATGTCATACTAGGACTTGATTTGTGACTGTCCCATGCATACGATAAACTGAGGGCAGTATCCTTCCCTGTCTCTTCACCAGCCAGAGTGTCTGTTCAGCCTGTCCAAGTTCCATTTCCACAGCTGGCAGGACAGCCTGCACTCCAGGAGCCTGAGCCCTACACACGAGGATCTTGTGATTCAGTTAACATGTCCATCTTTTCTCCTTCCAAGGGGGCGTGGGCACTGATTGTCCTCGTCTCCCTCAGCTTCCTTTGCTCACACTAGTGGCGGTCCAACGCACTAAGCTCTTCCCTTGGACTGAGATCCACATGAATAAGCTGATTTTCACCCCTAGCAATATCTTGTAGGAAAGGCCAGCATGCAAATTTCACACTTTAACTCAATTACAGGTATGAATTTGAGAAGTATTATTGAGAAAACCCTTGTGGCAATTTTTTTCATGTCTAGAGAAATGAGGTTTTTCTCCTTATTCCTTACTTCTCATCAGTCTTAAATGAAGTGGTTCAAACTAGCATCAGTTACATTGATATTTGAAAATAATTTGAAATTTTTCATTTATTTTTCAGAGATCACACTTTTCTCAGCAAAATGGGAAAAAAATGAATAGGTTGCCTAATTTTGTCAAGTTACCTCTATTTTAGATAACAAAGAAGAAGAAAACAAAATTGATAGACCTATTGGGAAAATTGATTTTGTTTTCCTCTTTCTTCCACAAAATATTTTTCAGAAGTGAACACCCACTTGCTCAGCTCTACTGCCATTCAATCATGGAACACCATCATTTTGACCAGTGCCTGATGATTCTTAATAGCCCAGTAAGTACCTAATTTATTGTTGTGGAATTTTAAAAGAGAGCTTTATAAATTCAGTTTTATTTTTAGGTTTTGGACATATTCCCAGCATCATAAATTCTTGAACATACTTTATTCCTTTTTGGGTAAGGAAGGCAAAGCCAAAACATTTGAGATCCTCACAACCTTCTCTTTCTCTGAACAGCCAAAACTGTCTAAATGTTGCCCGATAAGGGAAATTTGACTACTCAACTCTACTTGGCTACTCCAATTTAGCAACAAAACTGGTATTTTGTGACTTTCTGTTAATTCTGCGATTTCTTTTTCTAATCAAGTGAAAGCAGTTTTTATGGTTCTAGGGTTTGCCTTCACAAAAAGCACTGCCTTTCCATCTTTCTATTGAAGTTTCTCATCATGAACCAACTTTTGTGCAGGAATAGAGTTATTGAACAACTCGGTTTATATGAATATTTATCTATGTAAGAAAATATATGCAATGCAAAACATAATTGTGCTAAAGAAAATAAGATTAGAGAAATATACACCAGAATATTAACAATAGCTGTGTTCACCTAATGAAATTAATATTGTTCTATTTCTTATTTTTCACATTCATTTATGCATGTGTTACCTTTCTAATAAAGAAAAATGAAAGTTGGAGCTATTATATTAAACAAACCCAATGTATGGTATGTAACCTTTAAGACATTTTATCACCATATCACTAAGTTTGCTCAGCAGGACCAATTCTTTCCTAATCTGGAAGAAAATTGAAGATACCAGTGTATTTCCTGGTCACCACTTTATAAACAAACACTCTTTGATTACTTGAAATTTCTTGCATACTTAAGATCCCAATCAAGTTCACTTCAGGATCCACCGTGTCCAGTCTTTAATAATAAATAGCCTAGAGTTTGGACCTAGTTTTAACTCTAAGGTTTTCCTCCTTATGCAATGGTTGGCTTTTCTTGTCTTCACAATTTTGTCTCAGTCATCCCTGTGGTTTCCTACTTGTCCAAATTCAGAGAATGGAACAGGAAAATAAGATAGAGGATGAGCTGGAACACTCCTAATATACTGTTATGCATTGGGTATCTTATGCTTTGGTGCCTGGAAATGTTCAAGTTGAATTCTTTTCTTAAGGGTAGTTTCATGATCTCTGCAAAGTACCCTCACTGTGGGGACACCCCCAATAATAGCTATTAGGGGCCCACTCAGCCTGCACCACTCTAGTCACAAATTTACACATCAAACTACACAAGGACTTCAACACCTGTCCCATGCTTGAACTTAAGGGAGTGTTTTCTTCTCTCCCTAAACCACTGCATTGGGTGAAGGTCCAAGGTGCAACCAGTTTGGAAATCTCCTAATCCAGGCTGCACATGCTCCAGTACAATTTTGCTACTTTATGCAATTGTTTCCTGTAAATTAGTTTATGTCTTGTTCCAATTTTAGTATATGTGCTGCCGAAGCGAGCACAGTTTATGTCTTAATGCTCAGTAGAAGAACGATGCCAGTGTACTCTGGGAGCTATATCATTTTATACACAGGTTCTCTGGGATATGACCTGCCAGAATTCTGGGAGTTCAATCTTGATCTTCAGCAACAAAGAAAAAAAACCTTCCACTTGGCTTCAGCACAAATAGTCCTTTTCCTTTGACCAATATTAAAAATATACTTCCTTGAGGAGCTGGTAATTAGCCTGTTTGTTAAGACTTACCACCACCACCATCAGCGAGCACTTGGGTTTGATTTCCAATTCTGGCTCTTTACTCCAGCTTCTTACTGATGAAGGCCCTGGGAGGCAGCAAAATTGAGTCCCTGCCACTCTCGAGGAGACCTGTATTATGTTTCTAATTCCTGGCCTCAGCCCCAGGCTTTGTGGGTATTTGGTAATTGAATCAGTGGATGGAGTACACTCCTTTCTTTCTTTCTTTCTTTCTCTCTCTCTCTCTCTCTCTCTCTCTGTTTGTGTGTGTGTGTGTGCTGTCTCACTTGGACAGCTGCAGGCTCTTGGCACATGATTCATTCTTCATTGCCTACCTGAATAGCCCCAGTGTCTCAGTAGTCCAGTCCTATCTGCATCGTCTCAGGGTCCTTAACAAGTCAGCATTCCTACTCAGTTTTATGCATTCTTAATGCTCTCAGGGCAGCCTCCAGGCTTGCAGGACCTCCAGAGGACTAGCCTTTGCTTTGGTTTGTGCTCTTCTTCCAAAGCTGTATAGGCTTTGAGAGGTATGCCTGAACACTATTTTTCCTACAAATTGTGTTTATTGTACAAGTCTTCAGAACTGAAGCTTTTCAGGAGTGTTTATATTATCTAATACATTTACTGGAATTTTCTTTCTATGTGTTTGAGGTAAATTTTATATTTTAACATACTATTATATATAAAAAAAAATGCTATTATAAATTTGGTTCCCTGTCTCTCTCTAATTCTACTGTTTTCAATAAGTAATCTTAAATACTGAAATTCAGTTCCAGGAAAAGAAAATATGCCAATATTATTTTTAAAAATATAGTTCCTGGGGCCCAGAGCGATGGCGCAAGTGGTTAAGGTCCTTGCCTTGCATGCCCAGGATCCCATATGGGCGCCGGTTCTAATCCCAGCGGCCCCGCTTCCCATCCAGCTCCCTGCCTGTGGTCCAGGAAAGCAGTCGAGGATGGCCCAAAGCTTTGGGGTCCTGCACCCACACGGGAGGCCTGGAAGAGCCTCCTGGCTTCGGACCAGCATAGTATCGGCCGTAGTGCTCACTTGGGGAGTGAATCATTGGACGGAAGATCTTCCTCTCTCTGTCTCTCCTCCTCTCTGTATATCTGCCTTTCCAATAAAAATAAAATAAATCTTTAAAAAATATATATATATAGCTCCCAACACTGTGACATATTTACCTCTGTTACTAAATAATATAACTTACCATGTATCATATTTTGACTTAACATAGGAAGAATCTGGCTGTATTTATATGGCTGGCTCAAATCATAAGATCTCAATATTTTTCATCTTTTTAAGGACAGTTATCCAGCCACTGCTCTTGAGAGGAAAGATAAAAATACAATACTAAAACTTTCCACTTGAAATTTTTTGTGGTATAATAAATAAATCAATGTATCAAAATATTTTCTGAATGGTTTTCTGTTTGGCCAAGAGTCTAAAATTATTTCCTATTTAAAATGATGCCTATGGTTGTAATTGCAGGGTTTTTTTTTTTTTTGTCATTAATTAGATCCATGCCCCATGCCCCTAACCAATGCGTTTTGCCCCCAGCTTGGCACAAGCAGTAGTTCTATCTTCATAAGAAATCCTTTACCACCAGTGTCATTCCTAAGCCTCTGGGTTTCTCCTTGGCCTTGGGATTTAGCAAGCATATCTGACTCAATTCACAAATGTTGTTTTGAACATATTCTGGGTGCCCAAATTGTGCGTTTTATTTAGCTCAAGATTAGAGACCCTGTATACTTTCAATTATAGGAAAGACATTAAAACATGCTTAGATAGTGAACAAAGTGAAATGATTCACACGTGGATTGGCCACCTTTGAAATGTTCCTTATTGATGTTTCAACTCTACCTTCTTTGTGCCAGCACCTTTACTAACCAGCCCTCTGTCCATCCGTTTAGACAAGTTCCTAAGGAACACACACTGTTGTCTATGTTGACAAATCTAAAAGTACATAAATCCACACCAGAAATGCTACTGCTTTTATTACAAAAGCCACAGAACAATAACTTTTGTTTGTTTAAAATCTCATCATTCCATTCCTAATATGTATTAATACCACTTTGGTTTTCAATCTTGCTATCAGATCATCGTGGTCCATCTGACCATAGGAAAAGTAGCTATTAGGTTTTCAGTCTGGACTCAGACCTAACATGTCAAGAGTTGGGAAACACGCTTCTGTAGGCAGCTGTAACACCATGAAGTTGTTTTTATTTACATAACAGGATAGTTTGGAGGCACTCATGCACAGGGGAAATTTTTCCCAGTACTTACTCTAAGTACAGAAATGTCTTCCATATTCATGAGTTCAGAATACATTGAAATTTGTGACTTGACTTTAAGATATTCCTCTCAGCAGCTTTTTCTGAAGGGATACTAATGATGGTTCTCTCTCTCTTTTTTTTTTTATAAAGGGCAATCAAATTCTCAGTGGCCTCTCCATTGAAGAATACAAGACCACCTTGAAAATAATCAAGCAAGCTATTTTAGCTACAGACCTAGCACTGTACATTAAGTAAGTTGTAAGAGATACCGTGAGAAATAAATCTTGGAAATGTCTGCTTTGTTGGAAACTTTTAACATCTACACTGGGAAAGTTTTATATTACCAGGGTAGATGTTCTGGCAAAGCTGTGTGTCAGATTGTGGAGCAGTTTCTTAACAGTAGCCAGAAAATTTTCCTTCTTTGGCTTCCTTACTGATAAAATTACAGGATACTTAATTATTTCTGATGTGAAACTACTGTTATGTCTCCGAAGCTCTGTGTAAATCAAACAGCCATCTGAAGGTCATTCCAAGTCAGATTATCTGTAGAGTCTATAGGCCACCCGCTTTCCATCCTTTTCCCTCATTCACCCAGCTTGTATTCATTTCACATTTCCTTTATGCTGTCATCCAAGCCTAGGCAAGTAGACGAAAGAACCAAAATTTCTCTTGTTTCTGTTTATTTGATTTTGTCAGAGGAGTATTGATGTGGACCTTTGCAGTTAGTTTCTAAAGTCAGAGCATGCTTTGGGGTGGTATTTGTGATTTATGCATTTGTATGATTAAACTCCCTCTCTAGAAACTAGAACATACTTTCCCGCATCTAGGCAATCATTAGTTTCCAAATTATAGATTGTGATAATTAAAGATTGCACATATGAAAATGAGAGGTTTCACATTTAAGATTTCCCTGTAATGTAAGTCTCTCTTCCTCTATACAGGGATTCACATCTAGGCTTTTAGTCACACTTATGAGAAATAAAAATGAATAGAACCCACAAAATCAAATGCCAGATATACACTATTGTAAATCTTCCAAAGTAACTGCCTGCCACTCTTTCATTTGGATTTTGGAGACCTTTAAAGTTACTACAACAAAAGAAAAGAAAATAAACCAGTGTGTTCAGAATATTATCAGATCACTGAGAATTTGAAAAATATCTGTAGCTGCAAAGTGTCTCCAACTTTTCCAAGCCACAGAGGTCTCTCTTCTGAATCTTTTTAAAATTCATTTTTCATTTTTGATAATCATACATGATTTTATTACAGAAGTTTTGCTTGCATTGCATCTTGTTCCTTCCACTAGATTTTAAACACTATGAAAAGAACAACCCTTGTTTTAGGACTTATGAAGATGTTTAACAACTTTGGACATGTAAGAAATATTCACTACCCAGTGAATAGTCATTGGATACAGACATAATATATTCATTGAATATCAAATATTATTTTAATTTTACTTGATCTTTCTCTGCTTCAAAAGAAACCCCAAACATTTTTTTACCTTAGACCATGATATATATAAACAAGTGAAATTAAACTAAAACATCTAGGGCCCGGCGCGGTGGCGCAAGTGGTTAAAGGTCCTCGCCTTGCACGCCCGGGATCCCATATGGGCGCCGGTTCTAATCCCGGCAGCCCCGCTTCCCTTCCAGCTCCCTGCCTGTGGCCTGGGAAAGCAGTCGAGGACAGCCCAAAGCTTTGGGAACCTGCACCCGCGTGGGAGGCCCAGAAGAGGCTCCTGGCTTCGGATCGGCATAGTATCGGCCCGTTGCGCTCACTTGGGGAGTGAATCATTGGACGGAAGATCTTCCTCTCTGTCTCTCCTCTCTGTATATCCGCCTTTCCAATAAAAAAATAATAAAAATAAATCTTTAAAAAAAAAAATAAAAAAAAAAAAACTAAAACATCTAGATCTTATTATTCATGAACTTAATACATCATAAATCCCTCAGAGAATCCAAATTTTAACTCATTTTTCTTAAAAATAATACTCAAAAACTGGGAAACTACTGAGGATCTAAAGTTAAGAATTACATGAAATTCAATGCTTTACCCAATGAAATAATAAAATGAGGATGGTGAAATATTACCCAGTTTTAAATAATAATTTTTTATTAGGGTCTCCATTTTTCCCCCCAGAATTGCTCTGTGAGTCATTGGAGACCAAAAAGATAATGGCTTGGCAACCTTTCAGTATTACCAAGTATTTTTTTCTTTACTTTCAAGGAGGCGAGGAGAATTCTTCGAGCTTATAAGAAAAAACCAATTTGATGTGGAAGACCCTCGTCAGAAAGAGTTATTTTTGTAAGTAGTTTTTCTATACTTTGAGCCAAAGTTTTGTAATCCAACTAATTTCTCTAGCAGCTTTTAAAGTAGTTATTTGTGGAACATGATCATCTTGGAGGTTCTCGAACTTCTCCAGAGTGCTGTACAAAGGAGTGAATATGTCTACTTGAGAGCAAATGCATTTGCAAATTCAATTGAATGAATTTTTCCTTTATTTTGGACAGAGCTTGAAAATGTGATAGAATATTATACAAAGTTTCAGGATTCCCTTGTTCATTTTCCTAAATCTTTGGGATGAGAGAGCTCAAAGTAACATCCAAGGTTTGTAGGAGCAAGATGCTGGCACAGCACCGATGGCAGAACTGGGCAATTGAAGAGTTGTCTTCCAAGATCAGTACACTGGTCCCTCTGTTTTCTGTCATACTGCCGCTTTGCTACTATTAATGCTACTTTCGCCATTGTAAGGACTAGATCCATAAAAGGGAACAAGGAGTCATTAATAGAGATACATACATGCATACTGCCTGATACATCACAGTAGTAGTTTTGAAATCAACACTTCTTTACATAGATTTCTATGACTTAGCATGTGATTGAAAATGCAAAGTATAAGAAAACAATATTCAAATGTCCCCACTGTTTTGCAGGAATACTTTACTTAGTGGCTGCCCATGTGTTTTTTTAGATAGCACCTTTCAAAGTCAGGCATTCTGTGATTGTTGCATAACTTTTCTACAATTGAAATTCCAAGTCTCTGCTCCACTCTTCTGATTTAGGACCACTCATAGAAATGTATACAATAGAGCTGGAACTTTTTGATATTTCCTTTTGAGAATGATACTTAAACTCTTTTGGAATAGATGGTTTGTATTGGCAATTCTTACTGAAATCATTAATGAAATTGGGAGCAAATAGTGATTGGAAATAGCTCAGCTGCATTTGTTTCTCACAAGAGAGTCTGTGTAAGAGAATTATAGTAGAATGCATTTTCTTTATGGCCTTAAAAATGGAGACTATGCTTTTAAATTGAGTGTCACTAGAGGTACAAATGATGCTTAGTGTTTCCAGATTACAGAAATGCCTTTTTGCCCATTTCTTCAAATTAAAAGGATTCTAAGATATTTGGATCTGACAAGGGAGGACACTTTGTTAAAGACAGAACCACTTTCAATGCAAGAATTGTAGGATTCTATTTTAAAGCATCATATTACTGACTCAAGAAACCAATAAGGACTTTGCTGCCCTGACAAAGGAAGAACTGAAAAATACCATCCACTAATGTTTCCACTTATCTACTGCTCCAGCAGATGCTTCTTAATCATTCCAGAAGATTTTCTTGCAAAAGCCAGTACATCTGTCAAGTGAATTAAGATAGCTGCCATAATTTTTGAGAGAGGACTTCTACCAGTAAGATACCTGATATCATCTTTAAGTGTTCAAATATTAGAAATGACTGTACTTTCATCTTACTGTCACTGAACGGTGGGAAAAAAAAACATATAGTAACATCTAATATTTAGTCATTTTTCTTTGTACAACTGTGGAGTTAAATAAAAAAAAAATTTGAGGGCAAATTCCAGTGGTTTACAGGATAACCAAGACAACGGCACCGTATTATCACTGCAACAGATTTTATGTAAGTCCTGTTTCTTTAGTCTTGCAGAAGATGACAGGTGCCATTCCCCTCATTCATTGGGTTTTAACTGTTTACTAATAACCGTTTCCTCAGTGTGTATGTTCACATAGGAATTAATAGGAGTCTTGGATTTCTTTTTCCTTCACAGAGCAATGCTGATGACTGCCTGTGATCTTTCGGCAATTACAAAGCCCTGGCCCATTCAACAACGGGTAGGTCACTTAGTGATCAGCTAGGAACATTCAAGTCAAAATAAGAACGGTCTCTATTCTTTAAGGTAGCTCTAGTACTCTTACCTAATTCTCCAGTAGTATTAAAAGTAGACAGATGTGCATAAAAAGGATTTCCCTTTTATAAGGTTCACTTATACTTAATATTTGAAAGCTATATTAAGAAAGCTAGTATGTATATTATCACAATTTTTAAAAACCTAGCTGTTGACAAACTTGGATTTTAGCACTGTTTCTGACTTTTGAATTTTTTAAAAGCTTTGTTTACTTGAAAGTCAGAATATTACAAAGAGAGATCTTCATCTGCTGGTTCACTTCCCAAATAGCTGCAATGGCCAGAGTTGAGCTGAGCTGAAGCTGGGAGCCTAGAGCTTCTTCTTAATCTCCCAAGTGGGTACAGGGTCCCAAGGCCTAGGGCCACCCTCCACTGATTTCTCAGGCCATTGTCCGAGGAAGTCGGCTCAGAAATGGAGTAGCCAAGACTAGAACCAAGCACACATATGGAATGCCAACACTATAGGTTAAGAATTAGCCTGATATTCCACCACACTGGCCCCCATTCTTTAGGATTTTTTTTTTGTACTCTTCAGTTTTGTTTTGTTTTGTTTTTTACTTTTTAATTGACACATACTAACTATTTATGGGGTACAGTGTGTTACTACAATGCACATATACAATGCAGAATGAGCAGATCAGAATACTTGGCATATCTATCAATTCAGACATATATCATTGGTTCACTTGTCAATAACTGCTGGGAATATTCAAAATCCTCTCCCTATTATTTGTTTTGAAATATTTTAAAAACATTAACATTAGAAGCAGCACAATTATTTCTTAGGGTTAACCTACCATGCTATAACTATCCTGCTATGTTATATCTTAGTTCCAAATAGGTATTAACAGGTGGAACTTAACATGTCTAGGATGTGTGAGTACAAAACTTGTAGATACAGAATATCCAGGGGGATCTGATCAGGGCCTTTGACTAGGGGAATAGAAATAAATCCTTTCCAAATAATCAGTTGCCAGAAGACTTCCCAGGGACAGCAACAACAACAAAAAAGCAGTGGGTATATGATGGCTACACTTTTTTGTTTCTGAGACTGCATGTTGAGTAAGCCTTAATGCACTAAGATTGTTGGTCAAGACACAAGGCTGCTTAGAGTTGAAGTTCAGTAACTACAGACTCATCTCATGAACACACATGCTGAGAAAACAAGATGAGAAACCTAACCTGACAGGCCATAACTTACCAAAGGTAATCTTCACCTATGCTATTCCATAATAAATAGGGGCAAGGATGGAAGAGGGAGGAAATATGTCTTTTCACTGAATTTTTTTCTTTCTTCTTTTCTTTTTTAAAATTTCACTTATTTATTTTTACTTATTCAAAAGGCAGAGAGAGAGGTCTTACATCTACTGGTTCGCTCCCTAAACCCACACCATGTGGGGATAAGGGATACAAGAGCCACGAAGTCAACTCAGGAATGCCATAGGAGTGCCAGGGACTCCAGTACTTGAGCCAGCACCTGCTGCCTCCCAGGTGTGCATTATCAGGAAGATGGAATCAGAAAGACAGGACTTGAAGCCAGGCAATCTGATGTAGCAACAACGTAAATGCTATGCTAAATGCTTGTCCCCCACCACCCTTTTGCCTTTTTTTTTTTTTAAGGATATATTTATTTCTATTGGAAAGGCAGATTTACAGAGAGGAGAAACAGAAAAATCTCCCATCTGCTGGTTCACTCCCCAAATGGCCACATTGGCTAGAACTGAGCTGATCCAAAGCCAAGAGTCAGGAGCTTCTTCCGGGTCTCCCACACAGGTGCAGAATCTCAAACCCTTGGGCCATCCTCCACCACTTTCCCAGGTCACAAGCAGGGAGCTGGATTGGAATTGGAGCAGCTAGGACATGAACTAACCAGTGTCTGTATGGGATCCCAGAGCTTACTACTCAAGGATTTAGCCATTGAGTCATGGCACTGGGCCCATTTTTGTCTTCTTAATTAACCTCTTCCACCTATTGTTTTGTGGGAAGTGCTATGATTTGACTAAGATACAGCCCTCAAACTCATTTAGCCATTTAAACTTCTAAGTCTTGAGAGGATTGATCCTAAAAGCCTGAGCTGGGCTTAAACTTCCAAAATCATGTCAGAAACTTTTTCTATTTATAAAATTAGCTTCTCTCAAGTGTCTCATTATAGTAGCAAATGGTATTTATTAGAGGACAAAAATAAATTTAAATGAAAAAGAACCTAAATAGAGTGTAAAACTAAAAATGTTGGAAATTACTAAGGAGAAAGAAATTTATGGAAGCAGGGAAGTAAATAGGTGACAGTCACTAGACCATGCTCTGGGCATGGATTATTTATATTGTAGTTTTATGCTGCTACTTATAAGATATTATCCTTGAGTGAGTTACTTCTTCTTGGACCTCAGTTTCCCAGATGGTGATGTACACTTCATATGATTATTTTGAGAAATAAATGGCAACACTTGGTCTATAGTAAACGCTTATTTCTTGTACCATCTGTGCTGATGACAGTGAAGTCCCACGAGCCATGATCTCTCTCCTCACAAACAGCACCGTTCAACCTTTGGACTATCATTCTTTATTTTTTTAAAAGATTCATTTGTTTATTGCAAAGATATATCTATATACCTCTGTCCGATGATTCACTCCCCAAATGACTGCAAATGCCAGTGCTGTGCGAATACAAAGCCAGGACCCAGGAACTTCCTCCAGGTCTCCCACACAGGTACAGGGTCCCAAAGCTCTGGGCTGTCCTCTTCTGCTTTCCCAGGCCACAGGCAGGGAGCTGCATGGGAAGTGGGGCTGCCAGGATTAGAACCGGCCCCCATATGGGATCCTGGCGCATTCAAGGCAAGGACTTTAGCCGCTAGGCCACAGCACCAGGCCCTATCATTCTTTATTAATTCAGTCAATCCAACACCTAATTTCAGAATGATGTGAAATACTGCAGTTCTAAACAGTAGTTTTCATTATGTTTATAGAACTCAAGAGAAAAATATGATCATATAGACAAATAGAGCAACGATATTTGTCAACATGTAATATCTATTCATGTTGAAGTAATTATACTTCCTTAAAATATGATTTATTTCAAATGATCAGAAACTTTGGGGCCCAGCGCGGTGGCACAGTGGTTAAGGTCCTCGCCTTGCACACCCGAGATCCCATATGGGCGCCGGTTCTATCCCGGCAGCCCAGCTTCCCATCCAGATCCCTGCCTGTGGCCTGGGAAAGCAGTCGAGGACGGCCCAACGCTTTGGGACCCTGCACCCATGTGGGAGACCCAGAAGAGGCTCCTGGCTTCGGATCGGCAAGGCATCGGCCGTTGCGCTCACTTGGGGAGTGAATCATTGGACGGAAGATCTTCCTCTCTGTCTTTCCTCTCTGTATATCTGCCTTTCCAATAAATAATAAAATAATAAAATAAAAAATAATAAATCTAAAAAAAGAAACTTTGTATTGAACATATCAACCAGTGGAAGTAGAAAGGAGAGTGAATGCAAGTCGTCAGTATTAGAAATAATGAACTAAAATCATCTCTATTTGTGCATAAAAGATTTTATATCTGAATTTTTGGCCCTGAACCCACAATAAGCAATTAAAAACCCTAACCAAGCAAACTAGCTAAAAACATAATGGAGAAGAAGGCCATATTTATGAATAATAAATAGTATTAATAAAATATCTAACTACAAAGAAAAGTTAAAATTATGAAAAAAATTAGAAAACATTATTTTAAAAGTAGACTGTGATAAATGGAAAGATACTCTGTGTTCTTTTTTTAAAAAATTTATTTATTTATTGGAAAGTCAGATATACAGAGAGGAAGATCTTCCATCCGATGATTCACTCCCCAAGTGAGCACAACGGCCGATGCCATGTCGATCCGGAGCCAGGAGCCAGGAACTTCCTCTGGGTCTCCCACACAGGTGCAGGGTCCCAAAGCGTTGGGCCGTCCTCGACTGCTTTCCCGGGCCACAAGCAGGGATCTGGATGGGAAGTGGAGCTGCCGGGATTAGAACCAGTGCCCACAGGGGATCCTGGTGTGTTCAAGGCAAGCACTTTAGCCACTAGGCCATGCCACCGGGCCCGATACTCTGTGTTCTTAAAAAACTCATCAGTATACATTCTTTCTCCCTCTCTACGTTAATTCCTATATTTCATGCAACTGGAATACAAATCCCATCAATTTTTGTTTCAAAAGTCAAGAAAACTAATGTCAAAACTCATTTGGGAGGTAGAAGGGAATCAGAAATGCCCAGAAAATCCTTGAAAACATGGAACACATAAACAAGGGGTTTTTTTTGACAGACATGGAAACAATACTAGAAAATCCCTAAAATTAAAAGTTGGATATTGGTAGCAGACAATGGAACGCAGTAGAAAATCAAGCATTACATAGGACATTAGGTATAGAATAAGACAGCATTTGAAATACATGGACAAATGTAGACACTGATTAAGTATTTAGAGATAAATAAATAACCAGAAGAAAAAACCAAAATTGTTTCTACTCTACATGATTGGGTTTCAAGTGAAATAGAGTTCAACATAGATAAAAGTACATGTGGAGTTTTTGATAACCCAGGAGGGAGAAAGCGTTTCTAATCTCAGCTTGACATTCCGAAACAAAGGAAAAGCCTGATCATCTAAGTTACATAAAAAGAAAAAATTTTCATGGCAAAAAAACAAAAACAAAAAGCAATGTCAATGATAATGCAAAACTAACAAAAAATATATGTAACAAATATCTTATATTCCTAATGCACAAAGAACTTGGCAAAAAAAAATAGGAAGAGAAAGACCAACCATCCTACAGAAGAAAAGTGGGGCACATTTTTAAATACAAATTGGTAGGAAAAAATGAATGGCCTTTACCAATTTGAAAAGATTTTCAGATCCTCAATCATAACAGAAATGCAAATTAAAACTATATTAATGCCATATGTGAAATGCTAGAAGCAACTTAGACATCTTTCAAAAGGAAAATGGCTTAACATCTGGAAGCATATTCCTTTGTGTAATAGAATAGCGGCTCAACAATAAAAATAAACTGTTGATACACATGGCATCAAGGATGACTCATATAAACTCTTATAAACATTATGTGGAACGAAATGGGATAGACATAAAAAAATTTTTGATTTCATTTATGTGAATTTTAGGATAAGTAGAATTAATCATTTATGAGAGAAATTGAAACAGTAATTGTGGGGGAAGTGGGAAAAAAAGAGAAATACCAGGACAGAGCAAGAAGGCACCTTCTTGGATGATGGAAATAATCTGTAATCTTGGGTGGAGTGTGCATTACTTGTTTTTCTGAATTTAAATACAATGAGTTTAATATATATGCAGATCAAACTATGTAAAATCAACTTTATAAAAAAAATTCATTGAGAAAATCATTTCCTAAGAGTTAAACTGGCAAAAATCCAAAAATTTTACAACCTACTCTGCTGGGTAAACTGTAGGGGAAAAAAAAACAGAGTGTACACTTGTACAACCCTTTGGAAGTGTATCAATATACACACATTTATCATAATTTCTAGAACTCTTTATCTGAAAGATATGCTGGAAAGAATATAACAAGATATCTACAAAATATTCATTTTTTGTACTATTTGTAATAAAAAAAGACTACAAGTGTCAGAGAACAGTGATTGAATAAATAGTACATTAACACAGGCTCTGTTCTGCTGCAATGAGAAATAATACTATCTACTGCTGGGAAGCGATTAGGAAGATAAAGTTTAATTGGAAAAAAAAGAAAAGAAAATGTGCATGGCGTGCTGTTATATATCTACCAAAGTAAAATATGATAATAGATTTGTGGTTGTTTACATTTTAAAAGCAGATTAAACCCCAAACAGCTAATGATTTCCAATAGAGGAAGGAGAGGATAAGGCTGAGGAAAGAGATATAAGAGCAAATTTCCTTTAGTGTGCTTGTTGTAGATCTAACCTGAGAATCATATTAATAATTTTCTCGGTTATAAAATAACTCATTGATCCTTGAAAACAAAATGAAGCAAACCTGAATTTGGTTGCAAAACCAAGCTAAGAGAAACTAATTCATTCTGCACAATGCAGTAACAAGTACCCTAAAGCCAAAAGGAACAAACAAAAAAGCTTGTAGAATCATATTAGTGGTAACTTTGTACTGATATTTAGTAGGTATGGGAGGTGTGACATGACCACAAATGTGAAATTGCTGAGAACGAAGGTTTTCAGGATGAGTCGAAAAATCAAGGCAAATGAAGTTATGCAAAAATCCTATAGGCCTAAGTATGAACTGGAACTATTGCATGAACGTATGTGGTATTCTATCTCTACTCCCTAAATAGACTTAACAATAGTGAGTAACCCAGGAGTGATAAAAAAAGAATCCAGTGTGAGCACGGACACTAACTACCACAGCCTAAAGGAATCAGGGCTCTAGGAAACAGGCTGATTTCAGTGCCAGAGCTGGAACCATTGCGGAAAAGTCTACACTGTCTTGTTAAACCAGAAAGCAAAGATGTGGGGGTATGTCCACAAGATGAAGAACTGACTCAAAAATGTCCCTCTGACCAAAATATACAGATCTACACATTAACAAAGGTTCAAATACATTAAATATGTTTAAATCACAGTGTTCAATATAACAATAAAGAATCTTTAAAATCTTCCACAGTCAGATTTGGTGAATGACTGAGAATCATGTTATTTTCTCTTCTTACGACTTTTTAAAACAAATTTGTTGTTGTTGTTGTTGTTGTTGTTGCTGCTGTTGTAATTGGAAAGTCAGATATACAGAGAGGAGGAGTGACAGAAAGATCTTCCATACACCTATTCACTCCCCAAGTGGCCACAATGGTCTGAGCTGAGCCAATCTGAAGCCAGGAGCCAAGAGCCTCTTCCAGGTCTCCCATGTGGGTGCAGTGTCCCAAGGCTTTGGGCTGTCCTTGACTGCCTTTTCAGGCCACAGGCATGGAGCTGGATGGGAAGTGGAGCAGCCAGGACACATAACGGCACTCATGTGGGATCCTGCAAGTGCAAGGCGAAGGTCTTACCCACTAGGCTACCATGCTTGGTCCAAAAATCATGTTATTTTCAAAAATAATAAAGTGGAAGAGACCACACATTTTTCTCCTTTTCTTATACAAATTACACTTCAGGATAATTATGAAAAAGGAATCTTAACTTTGACAATCACCTTTTGACAACACTTGTAGGCATAGATCATTAATAACTGATAATTATCCAGAAGACAAGAAATCAAGCACTTTATACTCCCACCTGAGGAACTAAACAGCAAACCTATGGAGTAGCCATGCCCACACCCCCAGGTTAATCTGTGAATGAATTAATTAAAATCTCAATCTAATCATGTCTCTAGCTCTTAAAACCAGTGAGTGTCTGGAAATGCAGCATACAGGGAATCATGATAATATAATATAATAATATAATAAGAATGCAAATCTGCAAACGCCAGACTCTGGGAAACAGCAATATAAATAAATAACTTAACCCATTCATCAACACCAACAGGCATTTGCAATGAAAAATGTTTAAAATGTTACTATTAAAAGAAACTTAAAAGACCGGTCAGCCAGTTGGGATATTTGGGCCTATTTGATACTGTGTTTTTCACAGCACGTTTTATTATCAGGTGCTTAATAAATATCACTGATTACAAACAAGGATGGGCACACGGGTTTTCCACGTTGGTGAGTTGAAATTAGATGGGCTTTTTTCATGCTTTGTTACAGAAAATCACAAACCTTACTCTTGTGATTAGTTACACATTTGAAAAAAAGCATATAAAATTTGTTACTCATACTGCTTTATTCTGATTTTTGCTGATGTGGTTGAACACTATAGCTTTGAAATATTTTCTCATCTTCATTAAAAATCTGTTTTCAAAAGTTGCATGTTTTACACTGCCAACACTTGGTCTGTTACTTATTTCAGATAGCAGAACTTGTGGCAACTGAATTTTTTGATCAAGGAGACAGAGAGAGAAAAGAACTCAACATAGAGCCAACTGTAAGTATGAGGCATTATTTTTTTAAAAATTTATTGCATTGCATTATGTGGTATGAGGCATTATTAAAATGTAGTTTTTCATTGTCAGTTTCTTTTTACACTTTTGTGCAATCTCTCAGCCATACCTTTTCTAATTATTTTAAAACACCATTCATATTAGAAAAATTATATGTGTTCATTAGAGAATGCAAAAGAGGACAAAAATGATTTTGGCAAGTATTATTTTGTACCCCTATTATCCATGTAATAGCCACTTTTTATTGTAACAAATGCTCTTTTTGTTACATGAAGTCACTGTAATAATTTACCCACTTCCTTTGGAGTAACGATGTTTGCAATGTTGCAAGCATCTACATTGCTGAGTTTTTCAGTGGCATGCTTTGTTATCTCGTTAGGACAAATTCCCAGAATTGCTGTAACAAAGGGCTCACAAGGTGGAAATGTTTGATATACACTACCTTTTCCCATAGAGGATGTATCCACAAGAGATTCTTTAAACCACTTCTGTCTTTTGGGATGATTTTGCTCTTTCTTTTATTCATTCGGCTGCTATCTGATCTAAGCTAATCCACAGATTTTTCATTATTTTTTTCTGGAGTTAAGTTGCATTATACTCTTTAACTATATTTTCATATTTTTAATTATATTTCCAGGATCTAATGAACAGGGAGAAGAAAAACAAAATCCCAAGTATGCAAGTTGGGTTCATAGATGCCATCTGCTTGCAACTGTATGAGGTATTTATATCAAAACGAATAGGTTTGTCTTACTTAGACTATCTTGTGAATTATAACCTAAAGTAATTTAAACAGATTAGTACTATCCATTGGTATTTTGCTATTACATAAAAAATACAAGAAATAAAAATTTTGAGTAATATTGATTCTTTTTCTGGTAAACATGTTTGCATGTTATATGATGACTACTTCTCAAAAAAGTAATTAGTTTAAGTCTAAGTATTAAGTGCCTACATGTTAGCCTAAATAAGGAAAAGCAATATCACACAACTTTTTTTCATTGTTTTCATGTAAATTTAATATTCTCAAGTAAATGTTTATGAGGATTAGAAGGCCAGATACATATTATGGGCTTCCTTTTCCATTTATCACTGACTTGGCTTTTGGAGTTTGTTGTTTTTTTTTTTTAAACAAATGCATCCTCCCTAAAATATACAATTTACTAGTTTAGATGTTATTGACACAAGCACAGAAAATAGATGCTGTCTTAAGAATTTAAGCAGAAAACTATTTGAATTATTTGGGAATGCAACATTTATCATGACATTATCATAAAATGTCAAGACCTAGACATTTTCTAATACAGATATTTCATATATTTGGTGATTGCATTAGTAAAGTTTATCTTCCAGAAATATGGAGTATTTGACCCCAACAAGTAGTTAATGTGAAAACTGGCTCTACAGTCCAGTTCTCGTTCACCACTGGTTCTGGGTGCCAGCCATGGAAAGAATCTGGTAAGGAAGCTGTTGCTGCTGAGGGATATGAGAAGAAAGGGACAAGAGACTCTCCAGGGGCAATGCAGACAATACAGAGCGGAGGGGAAAAGCAGCACGTGCTGGGCCTTCACACCGCTGCATACCACCTCTGCCCAGCAAGCCACTCCTCCAGTCCCGTTCACAAGATCTCCCTTGCGGCAGGGTTTGAAACAGGCTTTATCAGCTTGTTCTTTCCATAGCAGATGCTTTTCTTATCTGTTGGATAAAGTGTTCCTCCATTAAAAATAATAATGGCTCTTTTCATTTTTCCCCCATCCTTGCAAAATAGTCAAAATAGTAATCAGATGACCTATTATAGATTTGCCCTTGTATGCTTCATGTAATTGTCTGCAAAGGTTCATTTTCTATGTGATATGAATGTGGATTTTAACCATACTGAAAAAATAACATGCTCTGATAGAACAATCAGAGCATGAAGAAGCAGAAAAGATAAAATCATCAATAATCCCACCACTCAGAGATAATTATGTTTATATACTTTATGAAATTCTTGCTTCAATAAAATTGCTTTTTATAATATTCACAATATTCATATTTCTGTGTTAAAATGTCTTGTGTGACACTTTTAATGGCTACAGAATAGTGATGTAATATATCTTAACCTGTTATTAAGTAGTTGTCATTTTCAATAATGTCCTTGTTACAAAGAAATCTGCAATGAACGTAACTGGAGTTAAATGATTATGGTACTATGGTTGGTAAAAAAAAAAAAAATAACTCTAGGAGTTATTAGTTACTAACTAATTTTTGTTAAAATCATGGATAAAAACCTACATAATTACATTTTATAGAAAAGTGCAAAAACTGTCTCCCCCTGAAGCTGAAATTAGAGAGAGTGAACTACATAGAAACCTAATGTACCATTTCCTCCAAACTACCAGATTCCACTTAGACCTGTATCCAGTGCTCAATGAACTGATTTGGGAATGTGTGCATTTTCCCATTCAGTTGCTCAGCACATCCTTCTTACCTGCCTGACTTAAGAGGACTCACTTGTAAAGGATCTGTGTGTTCATACAACCTGTGCTGACCCCAACAGTGGGCATGCTCAAGAGCTGAGTGTGGGACGTGGCCCTTTGTGACAAGCCTTGTCTCCAGGTGTCCTCCCAGATGTTTGCTTTCTTTTTCTTTCCTTAGGCTCTAACTCACGTGTCCAAGGACTGTTTCCCTTTGCTGGATGGCTGCAGAAAAAATAGGCAGAAATGGCAGGCTCTGGCAGAACAGCAGGAGAAGATGCTGATCAATGGGGAAGGCAGCCAGGCCAAGCGGAACTGAGCAGCCAGTTTCTTGCAGAGTTGAAGTTTACAGAGCTGGTGTATTTTGCATTCTGCCTGGTGTCCCTATGCACTGTACAGACTTGGGTTATACTTGCCACTGCTCTATTTTTATTTTTGCACAACTCTTGAGAGCATAGCATGAAGTGTTTTAGACTATAGCATATATTCTGTATATTTGTTTTACACCACTGAGCTGAGATGATCAATGATAACCTCATTTCTCATGAGAATTCTGTTTGGAGCATCTTGTGTATTGCAGAAGGCAAGTAGCTTCCTTGCACTGAGGTTGTTTTTGTTTTTTGTGTTTGCGTAGGGATTTCAAATAATTTTTTTGCTGTGTTCTGTGAATTACTAGACTTTCGAGAATGTTTGGAATCTTTTCTCAAAAGTAGGTTAGGAGTAAATTGAACACATTCTGTGACATTTAAGGCCTTCATTAAGGTTTTTGTTTTTTTAAAAGCTGAGTGGATTTTGGGGGGGTAATGTGTATTTGTCAACAGTAAATAGTGTCAACAAAAAAGTTAAGACTCTGAAACTAAGGGAAAGACTGTGAGGACATGAAGAACATGTTTTATTTGATTTGTTATTTTTGAGAAAGAAATGACAATAGAAAACGCCATTTTAAGTGCAGTCTATCAATCCAAATCACTTCAAGTTCATCCATATGATGTAAAGCAGGAGTCGGTCTGGTCCCTGTCTTCTTAAGGGATGGGTGTGATTCAGAGAGGATCTGTCAGTGCAATATTCTGTGGGAAGATACCCCTGAGGGAAGGAGTTGAGACACAATGAAGTGAGACATGACTGTCAGTGAGAGGAGTAAAAAGTGAATGTTGTATTCTGCATCAAGTGACATTATAGAAAAATTCAAATTATGTAAAGAGTAAAAGGCTATTGCCAATACTTGGATCAAACATGAATTGGAGGGAACAGAAAGAAAAGACACCTTACCCCCAAGTAAAACCTGACTGTGTTTTGAGAAACAGCTGTTTATAGGATGAATCTATCTAGAATCACAGAAGTGTGGGTGTGTACCCCAAACACTGGCCCTTAGTTTGCTGTTAGTGTTATTGCCTTCCCACAGCTTTCAATACAGTTAACATTTTCTTTGGATTTGAGTTCATTTAACTAGGGTGCCACTGTCCTTGTAAACCCTTGGCTACATGTTTCTTTAGCACTGGAGAAATGGAAGGTGAAATGAGTAGCTTCTGTTTGGATGTGGGCAGAGCAGGAAGAGATTTGATTTGTTTGCTCCAAAACCCCACTACCCAAAGAAAAGAGCTGATGGGAATATCACCAGTTTGGATAGAACATCTCTTAGCAATATGCTAGCACAGCATTCTCAGAGACCTTTCACAAAAGCACATTTGTCATTCATGTCCTTTCCCCCCTGAAACTACCTATATTCAACTTACTATATTTTTTGAAATCCTGGATATGTATATATATTGTGAAGTGATGTCGCTTTCTTTTTATATATAATTTGGTATAAAAAACAACAGCAAAACAAATTCTATTTCCAGTATTTTATACTAGTAAGAGATAATCTAGGGATTTATCAACTCTTTAATGTTTTACACGTTACCATGGTAATACTTGTATTTTCAGAGTGTTTTTATGTCATATTGATGAAATCTGTCAGGTAGCCTCTTGGTGGCACTGGTGTGTAAATTATACAGATTATCACTTAAAACAGTCATATTTACTTACTAGGAAATAGCTGTGCACACATACATAACTCCTTAGTATAGGAAGATTGTTTAAGGAACAGTAATCTTTAACAAATCTACCTTCTTAGCACACACACATTGTAATATAGCAGCTATGCTAAAGCATGTAGTCATGCACTTCAATGGGTTAGTTAGACCCCTTTAAGGTGTCTCACTGAAGTTTTTATTTTGTTTTGTTTTTTTCAAGACATGATAGATGGAGGATTTACATGTGTATTATTTAATAATAAGATATATTTAGAGTAGAAGTTGTTTGGTCTGCCTTTGGATATTGGTTTACTTTACTTCACTAGTTGAGTATTTAGGAATAGGGCAAGGCCATGCCTATTTTACTTTATTGTTCAATATTTTTAGTAAATGCAAAACAATAGTATTTCTTTAGGGCTAGTTAATTGGCCCAAATGATGCTTAGTTTTTAGTAAAATCATTCCATACATGAACTATCTGCGGTACGTGGGCACAAATTAAAATTTTTGTTCATATGTGAATATTTTCGTTCTCATTTCTTCTTAAGTTGACTAAAAAAAATCTTTCTCCTTCACCTTATCCTATATTTATATTACCCATACCTGACAAGAAGTTGTTCTTATCCTAGGGTGTTTGTGTAGCTAGAGCACAGTAACATAGCTTTCATTTCAACTCTCAGGCAGAAAAGTTGCCACTATTTCACTCACCTGTTCAAAGGTCTCTGTTAAATTGCCAGACCTTTTTTTTTTTCCTTTCAGGGGATTGGCCTTGCGCTATCACAGTCATGTGTGAACTTGAGTAAATTACTTAACTTCTGTGTTTCTGAGCAAGTTAGGCACTAGAGGCAGTGAGTTTGGGCAAAGCCTTTCTCTTAAAGGAGAATATCACAGAAACTACTTTGTATACCCCAGGGTGTCCTGGTGAGCACTTGAGAAAATTAAATCATGGACTGAAGAGCAACTGAGCTGGTCCTGTGTGTCATTTCTTATGTTGCATTTCCAAGATTGAAACAAAGCAAAGACTCAGCTTCCCATGCAGGTCACTAGTGGTTATGAGGCTCAGAGCTCCTTCAGTGCCTTGCCCAAGGAACAAACCACAATGATGATGGAGCTGACCAGGCCATCACAGGCCAAGTGATTTGCCTCTGTTTTTACAAGACTGATGTAAAATGAGAGGGGAAATGTATTCCCATCCTCTACTGTGAACTTAGCTAAACCAAGGTGGCCCAATCAAATGACTAGGTATCAGTCACTCATCAGTTCATCTTTCAGAAAGGGCCGCGCCTTGTTAGGTGCTATGCTCAGCCTGGGAGACATGGCAGTGACTTCCAGGAGCTCACAGCCTCTGCACACTGTGTCACAGTCTCTGATCCTGCCAACGGGGTGATAAAACTTAGGGTAGAGTATATCACTTTCTGTTCTCATAACATGTATTGTGTATCTTCTTTACCTAAAATTCAGTAAGAATCTATCCATGAACATCCTGTCTTCTTTCAAAAACAAATCACTTAACCTGTTGGTTGCTTAAAGAACACGTTATACAGACAGGAGTTACTCAGAGTTCTGCACTGTTAAACTGTTTCATTTTTGGACCCCTTCTGCTCTACCAGAGGGAGCGAAGAAGAAAGTGTTAAAGCTCACTTGCCCTTCCATATCCTTATCAAAACCCTGTGTAAGCACGTCCTCATGAATGTTGTTGAAAGCACTGTAAATAGTTGAAAATGTAAATTTCTATTACAGTTAAAAATCTTCTGTACCATCACTAGCCACTGTTAATATCTATTTGTATTCTTATACCTTTTCAATATATTTGAACAAATATATAGTTTCTGGCACTATTTTTATACTAGGATAAAGGAGTTACTATGTATATTATGTTTAACTTTTAAGTCATTTTAAATCATTGTGAATGTTGATATTTTTTCTTTCCCTTTCCTTCACCTTGGGCATCGTATCAGATGGCTCCTCTGGCAAACTTGCTTTGTAAGAACACTTATCCACCTCTGATCTGCTTGAATGAGATACACTCATTTTCCATTGTGCAAATTCTTCACTTGTCCATTGTTCCCTCATTTTTTCATGCTTTGTAAAAAATAAAAAGAATGAACAAGGAGCTATGAATGTTGTATGATTATTAGGTGGGGGGCTTTGAATTTTAATGGTGGATTTTAGGGAGAGAGAAGGGGCTTTTTAACTTTCATGAAACTAATCTGTGATCTTATTTCCTGAAGAAAAATATGGGTTAAAATAATTTTTTTCTTAGCACAGATTCCCTCAGTAATAGTCTTGCTTTTTTTTTTTTTTGAAGATTTATTTATTTTTATTGGAAAGGCAGATATACAAAGAGGAGAAGAGACAGAGAAGAAGATCTTCCATCCGATGGTTCACTCCCCAAGTGAACACAGTGGCTGGAGCTAAGCCAATCCGAAGCCAGGAGCCAGGAGCTCTTCCAGGTCTCCCACACAGGTGCAGGGTCCCAAGGCTTTGGGCCATTCTCAATTGCTTTCCCAGGCCACAGGCAGGGAGCTGCATGGGAAGTGGGTCCGCCAAGATTAGAAACAGTGCCCATATGGGATCCCAGCAAGTGCAAGGTGAGGACTTTAACCAATACACGATCATGACGGGCCCATAGTCTCGCTTTTATTAACACCTTTACCACCACCTGGAGGACAACAATTTCCATCCTCTTCACTTCAAGTCCGTAACAACTCTGTGGAAGCAGATTACCACCAGCCTTATGCTACATCGGGAGCCAGGCTTAGGAGTTAAAAGCTTGGCAAATGACATGGGCTGGGTTTAGGCTCAGATCTGTCTAGTTTCAACATAGGTATGTATTCTGGTTAGCTCTCTGTTTGAATTGTAAAGGTCCCAATCCATTCCATTCTTACTGGATCATGCTGGGTGGGTAGAAACATGAGACACTGCCTCACCCTGCACATTTGGTTTTGTTTGGGTTTTTATGGTTCACATTCTTCATCTAGTTCATCTGATAATAGCTATTGTCATGCCTGCCCAGTCTGCAAGACACGTCTCCATGTTACTGGTCTACAAGTATGGCGGGATGATTAAAGGTGGAATTTGTGATTTTGTATTTGGCCACTAGAGAAGCTCTCTTCGTGTGGGGCAGAAAATCTAACTTAAGCCTGCACAACGCTTAGGAGAAAAGCCACGTAAAATCTCCTGTGGAACAAACAGTGCTTTAGATGGTCTGCCCACTAGAGAGCAGCAGAGTTTCAGCTGAATTTAAAGAGGCATGTCACAGGTCTTAAGAATCAAAATGCTTTTTCAGAGATGTTTTAGCAACTAGAGAAAAGTGACTGGAAAAAAATAAATAGAGAATTTAAGGTAAAGTCAAAAGTAGAGAGGAAATGAAGTATTTATGGATTTTTTCTTGAGAGTTAAAATACTGTGCTTTGCCCCGAAGACAGACAGACCCTCAGGATTTTCTCTCTAGTGAAACATCCTCAATATTCCATTCACAAAGACAACCTTCCTCCCTACGGGAAAGGGATGCCTTTGACAACTCTCTTGAGCCCATATTCTTGCATTAGCTGTGCTGCGTTCACTGCAAACTCGAATTCCTGCATTTGATCTATGGAAATGGCAAATCATGATTTTCTTGTTTTAAGACACAGGAATATTAAACTGACAGAAACATTTTGAAGTTGCAGAGAATGTTCCCAACAACTTGTAGCTACATTCAGCCT